TCTTCTTCTTTTCATTCTTCTTCTTCTTTTTCTTCTTTTCATTCTTCTTTTCATTCTTCTTCTTCTTCTTTTCATTCTTCTTTTCATTCTTCTTCTTCTTCTTCTTTTCATTCTTCTTCTTCTTCTTCTTCTTTTCATTCTTCTTCTTTTCATTCTTCTTTTCATTCTTCTTCTTCTTTTCATTCTTCTTCTTCTTCTTTTCATTCTCCTTCTTCTTCTTTTCATTCTTCTTCTTCTTTTCATTCTTCTTTTCATTCTTCTTCTTCTTCTTTTCATTCTTCTTCTTCTTCTTTTCATTCTTCTTTTCATTCCTCTTCTTTTCATTCTTCTTCTTCTTTTCATTCTTCTTTTCATTCTTCTCATCCTTCTTTTCATTCTTCTTTTCATTCTTCTTCTCATTCTTCTTTTCATTCTTCTTCTTCTTCTTTTCATTCTTCTTTTAATTCTTCTCATTCTTCTTTTCATTCTTCTTTTCATTCTTCTTCTCATTCTTCTTCTCATTCTTCTTTTCATTCTTCTTCTTCTTCTTTTCATTCTTCTTCTTCTTTTTTCATTCTTCTTCTTCTTCTTTTTTCATTCTTCTTTTCATTCTTCTTTTTCTTTTCATTCTTATTCTTCTTCTTTTCATTCTTTTTCTTCTTCTTTTCATTCTTCTTCTTCTTTTCATTCTTCTTCTTCTTCTTTTCATTCTTCTTTTCATTCTTCTTCTTCTTTTCATTCTTCTTCTTCTTCTTTTCATTCTTCTTCTCATTCTTCTTTTCATTCTTCTTTTCATTCTTCTTCTTCTTCTTTTCATTCTTCTTTTCATTCTTCTTCTTCTTCTTTTCATTCTTCTTCTTCTTCTTTTCATTCTTCTTTTCATTCTTCTCATTCTTCTTTTCATTCTTCTTTTCATTCTTCTTCTCATTCTTCTTTTCATTCTTCTTCTTCTTCTTTTCATTCTTCTTTTCATTCTTCTTTTCATTCTTCTTTTCATTCTTCTTCTCATTCTTCTTTTCATTCTTCTCATTCTTCTTTTCATTCTTCTTCTTCTTCTTTTCATTCTTCTTTTCATTCTTCTTCTTCTTCTTTTCATTCTTCTTCTTCTTCTTCTTTTTCATTCTTCTTTTCATTCTTCTCATTCTTCTTTTCATTCTTCTTTTCATTCTTCTCATTCTTCTTTTCATTCTTCTTCTTCTTTTCATTTTCTTCTTCTTCTTCTTTTCATTCTTCTTTTCATTCTTCTCATTCTTCTTTTCATTCTTCTCATTCTTCTTTTCATTCTTCTTTTCATTCTTCTTCTTTTTCTTTTCATTCTTCTTCTTTTTCTTTTCATTCTTCCTCTTCTTCTTTTTCATTCTTCTTTTCATTCTTCTTCTTCTTCTTTTCATTCTTCTTCTTCTTCTTTTCATTCTTCTTCTTCTTCTTCTTCTTCGTCGTGCCCCGTGACTGCCCAAATGAGTGAAGTGTGCGGTGATTCTAAGATCGACGGCACTCATCTGCATGTCATACTGACTGACAGTATTATTTCTCTTCCCCAGCAGACTCCAAGGGCATTTAAATTAAAGGTACAGTGTTCTGCACTAATATAAAGGCTCTCTGAAGCCTAGAAACCCTTTTAATAAGTTAAATTCGCGGCGAATAAATTCGCATCGAATTGAATTTCTCCTGCAAATTCGGCGAATCAGCCGAATCGAATTTTTTAATAATTCGCTCATCTCTAGTAATGATCATATACAAAAGTCCAATAAATGATCCAGTGTGTAAGAATCTGGAGAAAGCCACTCAAGGTGGCTGAAGTACTAATTATGTGAAAGCCCAAATAATGAACGTGGGGATCCTCCCAAGAGATAACAGAATAGGTGGTCCAGCCTCCTATCTCCAAATTATAGGTGGTATATCTGGTAATAGAAAAATTGTGCACTCACCAGATGGGCAAATTTCATCACGCATTTGAGAACACAACTGTCTCATCAGGTCAGCCAGATCCTCTTATGGTATGTACAGCCTGGTATGTACCCCTTTGGATCCACCGTAGGTAACAGCACATCTAGCTTTCACTTTACAGGGCTCTGTGGATGGTTAGACACACAAAGAGCCCAAGAAAAGAATGCCACATAGGTTTTGCAATTTTTTTTTATGTCACATGGTATTTGCGCAGTAGTTTTTCAAATGCTGTTTTTGGGAAAAAATACTTTTTTTTTTTTTTTTCAATTTTAATGCTAAAAAACACAATTCATAACCCAATTTTTTGTAAAACATTGAAGATGATGTTATACTGAGTAAATAGATAACAAACATTTCACGCTTTAACACTGTGCCCTCCAGTGCAACAAAGGCATACATTTTACTATCCAAAGACAATGCCTTAAAAGCCTTTACAGGTTGCCACTTCAGATTTACAGAGGATGTCAGGTGCTAGAATTACTGCTCATGATCTGACATTCACAGCGATACCTCACATGTGTGGGACGAGTGCTGTTTCTGCACATGCGTGCAGGACCGATGCGTGCATTCGCCTTTGCGCACAAGCACATGGGACGGAGGCACTTTAATTTTTTTTTTACACTGTTGCTTTAAAACTTTTTCATTTTTTTTAATCATTTTTATTGCAGTCACAAGGAATGCCAACATCCCTTGTGACAGCAATAAGCATGTGACAGGTACTCTTTATGGTGGGATCTTGGGTCAGTAAGACCCCAAATCTCTTCTCTGCCATTAAAAGTATTTAATCACACCAAGATCAGTGTGATTGAATGCTTTTCTTTTTTAAAAATGGTGCCTCGTATTTCTGAGAAAACTGTAAGTGATTGGGACTCCCGGTGGGACGGGAGATCTTGGTAAAGCTGCGGAAGGTGACGGCTAGATAGCCATTTTGATTGCTATTACAAGAGAGCTGACTGTTGCCTCTTAAAAAATGGTACCAGGATGCTGCATGCAGCTGCAGGAATCATCCCGGTATAACAGCTCAAACCCATACGTCACTGAAGCTGAAGTGGTTAAGAGATGAGGAGTGGGTCAGGAATAATATTTTAGATTTTTTTTTTACCAGAAAACTAGTTTTATAAACAAATATTTGTTATTGTGACAATATTTGTCATTAACAATTTAAAAAACATATAATAAAACCTATAATAAAAAGTCATCATCTTTTAACTTACAGATTACTTGCACCATTTCATGACATTTATGATCAAAGCAACCTAGGCTTAGAGCTATGATAAATAACATACAAACACCATTAGAAGACTTTGCATTTTCATTATAGGTTTAAAGACTTAAGCTTCAGCTGGTTACAGAAAGATATTCAAAGAATACCTAACAAACACAAACGTTAGCTATCAACTTTCACATGAAAAACTGGTGGACAAACTGTATTGATGTGTTGTGTATGTCCATACATGTATATACATGTACAAAAACTCATATCCATACACATATCACCATGTGAGTCCAATTCTGCTAAAATTGGCATTGCAGAATTAATGAAGCAATCTTTGTGCAATTAGTATTGTGGGAGCTCTGTCAGGCAGAGTTGTCACAGTTTATCATATATTTATGGGGGCAGCCCTAGGTTAAAGAGTATTTATTTCTGTAAAAGAGAGTTAACCAGTTTTTTTTCATTCCATAATGGTTGGTGGATAAGAAGACAACCAATTTTGGGCTATTATTTTGTGAGCTAGGAGTAGCAGTCTGACCACTGAAGCAAATACCTCAAGGAGAAAGGCCTTATCATCCAATAAGCTAAGCAACTATATAAGGGGATCCAGGGGTATTGCAACATGAAATGTATTATTAATAATATCTATCACTTTTCGCCAATAGCGGAACTAAGGGCATCTCTACAACATATGGATGAGAACTGTAAGACCATCAAGACTCCAGAAAGCTTTTAGAAAGGTCTTGCTTATAGTGTGCCAGGTGGGAGGGAGAGCAACAACTGATATAATATCAAAATGCCATGAGACCAACCCATTGTTGGTTAAAAAAAAAAAATGTTCCAGGTGAGGGTGAGAGAATCAAGGAATCTTAATGAATGTGGGAGGCTTTTCAAAGTCACATAGTTGAAGCATTCTCTACAAGTCTAAGGCTCCGTGAACACTAGCATTTTTTTTTTTAAGTTCATAAAATGCTTGGAAAAATGCTGGATAAAAATTGCTGGTAATAGCGTTTTAGTAGCATTCAGAAGCATTTAGGAGTGTTAGCGTTTTATTAGCATTTTCATTACATGTAGAGAAAAAAAAGTAAAAAAAAGAGTTTAGGAGCATTTAGCATTTTTTTTTCTGCTGGAAAAACGCTCCAAAAACTCTACAAAAACATTTTTCTTTTTCTGTTCTTAGATGCTGAAGCTCAAAAAATGCTAATAGCCTAAAGTAGTGTTCATGGACACATAGGATAAGGCTATTTAGTTTCTAGGAGCAGAAAAAAATATGCTGATCATAGCTTCTAGGAGCTTTAAAAAAACGCTAGTGTATATGGAGCCTAAAGGAGTATCCCCCATTATGTTCTGATATCTACAATGTCTAGAATTATGTTTCTAAAAACATGATACTAACGCAGTCTCTCTGCAACTTTCAAATACTGAAAATCTCAAGTATCTAGTCCTGGCAGAAATTGGAGATTGGCTGTTAAAGGGATAAGTGGCGGGTTCATCAGCCAAGCCTGTTTGGTCCATGTGCTGTCTCAAACTTTGTTTCCTTAGTCTTGTTTGCAGTAGAAAAGGCCATTTGTCTATACTTTCTCCAGACCCATAGCATTGTGTGTAGGTTCCTTTCAGCAAGTGTCTCTTCAGTCTCCACCTGTTTTTGATGTTTACGATATGACCAGTCCAATGTCCTTTTCAGTAAGAAGGTCTTATAATCTTTCCTGCGATCCAGAAGTGATATTGCAGTTTACCAATCTTTAAAGCTAGGTTCACATCTATGCAGATTGCGGTTGATGCATTTTCTGGGCTGCCATCCGCTTCTTAACAAGCAAGTTAAACTCCCTGGCGGTATTCCCGAGTGTAGCTCGGGGTAAAGTTTCAGTACCACCGCGATCCCTCGATCACTTACCTTGTCCTGCGCTCCCGCGATGTCCCTCCTGCAGTGTCCCCGGCAATGTAATCCGGCGGATGCCGGCATCTGTCATCTGGGTTCCGTCCCCTGCGAGCGTCGGGACGTACGGGGGACGGAACGGCGGGAAATTTGAAAATGACAAAAAGTGACATTCACTAAAATCACATAGTAAAACATTACTGTATCAAACCATTTCACATACATTTTGTCCTGTGCCCTGCCTGAATTTTTATTGTTCTTTCTGCCTGGAAACTGAGAAATGTCCATGGCGTCCAAAAAGCGTCCCTTTAGGTCAAAATCGGTTTTAGACCAGGTAGAAAACAGCGATAGTAAATTAGAACCACTTGCAGAATTGAGTGATAATGATTCGTGGGGAAATTCGTCATCAGACACTGAAAACGATTCTGTGTGTTTTAACTTTTATCCTACCCGAGATGTTTACTAGACTCTTGTTCGGACAGATTTCAGTGAGTTATTCCTAAAAATTACAGGCCTACAATAAAAAAAATACATATTTCCATGCAAAAAAAGTACCGCTTTGAGTAAAGAAATATGGACATAATCAGACCGCTAGGGAGGTTAAAGTCACACAAACCGCAAAATGCATATAAAAAAAGCACCAAAACCGCAATACTTGCATTTTTGGTGCGGTTCCATTGAAGTCTATTACACGTAAAACACGTGAGGCAGCTCGTCCCCCTCCCCGCTCCCTCAGCACAGCATTTGATTGACTATTAATCTGGCCTGGGAGAAGGGAGATAATGCCGGAAGCCACTGAAATGGATCGGGCTCAGGTAAGAATAAGGGGGGGCTGGGGGGCATTGTAAAACACAGAAGGTTTTTCACATTAATGCATAGGATGCATTAAAGTAAAAAACCTTAAAGCAGAACTCTGGTCAAAACTTTTGTTTTCTCATGCAGTGGGGCTGTGCCCACACTACATAGATCAAGTGATCAATTTGTCCAAGGGCTCAGGAAAAAGCTGCACTTTCCCATTCCTCCGATTCTCCGGAAAACCACCGTTCCCCCTCGTCCAGTGGAGGACTGCCCCTGCCGGTCTATGGGCGTGATGACATCAGGGACAGCCAATCCACAAGACTGTTAGTGTGCGGGTGGGTTTAGGAATGGCGGGGACCAGTCTTGCGCTCAGGGGATTGGTGGATTAGGTAAGTATATCTTTGCTTGCTGAGCCCCTAGACAAAAACGAGCATTTAACCCTTGCAGTACGGGCACAGCCCCACTGCATGGGAAAATAATAATTTTGACTTTTTAAGGCTTTAGAACCACTTTAAAGTCAAACTCCTGCTTGCACGTTTTGAGAAAATTACAGCAACAGTTTTTTTTTTTTTCCCCCCTGGGATAAAGGTTTAACAAAAATTCATAAAATTTTGACCTGTTCCCGCCAGCCGTACGCAAGTACGCGGCCTCTCGTCGGGAGAGCTATAACAGCAAGAGGCCCCATACATGCGAGAGTGTGCCCTGAACGCTCCCAACAGTTACTGGCAGGTACTGGAAAGTTCCTAATGCCTGTTTGTAATCGGGAGCTTTCTGATCATGTTACTGCTGTGACTTCCAATCACAGCAGTCACATGTTCGTAATACCCGCCTCTGCCATTTAGAACCTTTAAGAGGTTTAACCCTTTAAGAGAGCCTGGAAGGGTTAAGCACACCTTTCAGTGATAAAATAGAGCTAAACCCCCCTATCCTTTACAGTCAAGGAAGCTACCATCTTATCCCCTGTTTGATCTGCATGCCACACATGTTATCATTTATGACAACAGTCATTTGATGACTTGACAGTTCAGTTGAGAGAATAAGCAAATGTGACAATTATCAATTACGGCATGCCTTGAATGTAACTGTTTCGAGAAACAATTAAATCAGTGTGTTTAGTTCAGCTTTAGGCCACATTCACACCATGTGCAGAGATGTGAGTTTTGCTGCATGTGTTCTGCAAGAGCACAAAAAAAATAATAATTTATCTCTAAGTGCCCTATTCACACCAAAACATTAGTATCACATGCAAATTTTTTCTTCACAGGAATCTGCAATGTGTATAAAACTCACTGAAACATGCATGAAAACTGATGTAAACTTGTGTCTCTGCAAGTGAAATCTGTGCGTCAGTTTCTATCAGATTTTTTGCACATATGACATGAATGAGGCCTTAAATGGTTTGTCTCAAACTAACTTCCACTTTTTCTGGACAGCTTAGGTGTCTGTTTATGACACACAGAATAGCTGAGATTCAGAGGATCACAGCTATTCTCTGGTCATTCACAGTTTATGACACACAGGAGAATATGTTCAGCCCTTCTCTGGAGATCTGTGTTCTCCCTCCAGATTCTCCAGCCCAGAGCTGGAGAATCGGAGGGACCGAAAACTAAGCAGAGATAATTTACCTCTGTTTAGTAAACTGATCTTTTACTGTAATCTTGCGAGATTATAGTAAAATCAGCCGTTTTCCAGCGTTTGTAGACCGTTCTCCCTTCGTTTGGAGAACTGATCTACATATGCTTCATTAACGGCATTCACAGGAGAACTGTGTTCTCCGAGAATGCCGGAGAACTGAGCAGCAATCTATTACTGCTGGTTCATAAACGGACACCTATGTCTGGTAAAAGAAGAGCCACATCAACAGGTGAAAAAAATGGGGAAAAAAAGTTTAAAAAATGAAGCTAATGCAGCCTTAAAATTTAAGAATAGGTAAGCTTTCCTTGCTTTGTTCTGCTTTTGTTTGATTCAATAAATGCAACTGTTAAAAAAAAAAAAGGATAGGTAAGCTACAATATATTACATTTTGTTTTCACTTTAATACTGCTTTAAAGGTAGTTAAAAAATAACTGACTTACTGGCCAGATCAACAGATGGAAATAATGTAAAAAACCTAAAAAATACCTAATGCAGCCACTACACTTAAGATTTAATAAACTGCATAGAATACATTTTTGCTTTTGGGCCTAGAGAGAAGTTTGGAATAAAAAAAACATACATACAATATACTTATATACTTACTCACCAAGGTGGATGCAGCATCGGTCTGAGACTGCTGATAACTTGGTTCTCAGTCTTCAGTGAGCAGAGAGCTCAATGGAGTGCCGGACTGTGGTAGGGGCTGGCTCATGCTCGCTGCATCTACCTGAGAGCCTGAGCCAGCAGCTGCTCAGGAATCTGGGTGGATCCTGACTTTAAAAAGGGGAAGTTCCTCTTTAAGGATTTCTCCCCTACTCCCCATTAAGGACTGGCACATTTGGGGGGTGGGGGTAGAAGGGGGAACCCGAACTTGACAGTTACCCGCTCCCACTTCTGGGCGATCGGAAGTGGAAGGTGTCCTTCCTCCCTGTAGAATTTGGGATACGTGACAGGTCCCTGAAGACTACAGGACCATTCATGAAGCGCAGCGCTACTCGCACATGCGCAGTGGGTACTCAGCTGTGAAGCCACAAGCTATCACAGCCGGGTGCACACACTGAAGATGCTGGCCTCCTGGAATACAGGACGGCTGGTGAGACGGGCTGCGGGACACACACAGAGGGATAGGTAAGTGACTGTTTTTTAAAAGTCAGCAGCTACGGTTTTTGTAGCTGCTGACTTTCATTTTTTGACAGGGTGAGTGGAACTCCGCTTTAACTGAACTGAAGTTCTGCTGTAAAAAACTGCACTGTCTGCAATAAAATGCCCCTACGTACCTGCTCGCCATCTCCTCCAACACTGTATACTGAGCTGCGTATGCACAGCTCAGCTTACAGTGCCAGACCATTCTCTGATTGCCAAAATGACAGCCTCATGCGCATGTGCAGAAGTGACATCATCCCCAGCCGTCCATTTAAAAGGCCCTAAGACCGGCACTCAGAAGAAGATGCCGGCACCAATGCAGGATCGTTGAACAGGTTAGTTCCTCTTTAATGCCCAGGTACTACAGGGAACAGTTCTTCCAGTTAAATGGAAATTGTGATTTCAGGTGCTTAACCCCTAATCAGGGCATTTCTATACTCAAAATTCCTTATTTGGAGGTAATAATCTTAAAATACAAGTTATTCTGCATGGTAGCTAATAATGGTTCTCATGAGATGATAAATAGCAGTGAAAATAACACCCTTTACATTTATTAACATGCACTCAATATGGCTGAGACACTGTGCAAGCCCTTTTGATGACTGCACTTTAAAAACACATTGGGATTGATTTACTATTTATTTTACAAGGGAATTTTTCCTAAGCTTAGTGAATGTGGTGAAAATTAATAATTCAAATAAAATCCAATCATTTAGAGGAAAGATTAAAAAATGTATTTTTGTTTGCAGATGATTGAAGTCAGCAGAGCTTCACCTCATTTACTAAGTTAGGGTAAAATTCCCTTGCAGAGTCAACAACCTATTGGCCTTCAGTAAATCAACCCCTTTAACTCTTAAAAAATGCAAAGAGATACTAAAACACTTTGTAAAAATTCAACTCGTACCAGTGCATTGTCTTTCCCTGTGCCTTAAGAGCTGATATCATGAGCCCAGCTAGTATAAACAGTGCCTGCCCCAATCTCATGTGGAAGCTCCAGCTTCCATGTGTTAGGGAGCACTCAACAGTGGCTGGAAGTTCCAGGAAAAGCAATGACATCATCCATAGGCTCCTTTAGCCCAGGCATTGTTGGTGATCTATCCTCTCCCCTGGAACTGCTGCTCACTGACATATTGGAGGCAGAGCTGTGGGATCATATGACCAGCCTGGAGCAGACTAAAGAAAGTAACTATACACATCATTTTTCATGGGGAGTGGGGGGAATGCCTTCCTTATTCTTTGTCCTTATCCTCAGAGTGCAGTTGCAGGCAGAATTTATTTAAAAAATGAAATGTATACCAGAGATGACAGTTCTAACAGCAGAAGGAAAGAAGAGACAGCAATAAAGAGTTATATTTATGAAATAGCTTGGTATCCCTAAAGGTAGTAAAAGTTTAGAGGATCACCTTTCACCTTTTAACAAAAATAATAAATGCACATATTTTGTAGGTAAAAAAAAATGTGCGTTTGTTATTATTTCTTACAAGAGCCTGTAAACCATTGCACCAGCGATCAGCAGATCTCTGGTGTCATGCAGGTCTTCTGCATACCTGTCAGTATATCTGCGTCCCCGTACAGGATTTTTTTGTAGCAGGAATAC